TACAAAATAGACGAACATTAAAAAATAACACCAATTGTAAGCTTGCTATAGCTAAATTTTGAGGAAATTCACATTCTTTTTCATTCCAAATAGGAATGTGCATTCCTATAATCTTTTTGTAAAATGATGTGTTGCTGTGAATGTTTGAAAGTTCCATAGCCTTTGGTTAGTCATTCTTAGGCGTTATGTTCTGTAGAAATGAATGGCCTAGAATATGAGATTTCATGTATATAAGTATTTAGTGCAGGATTATTTGAAATAGAAAAATTGAAGGAACAATACTGATTGAAGAAGACTTGTAAAACTGGTATATCCTTTCTATAAAATCCTTCATATAAAAGCTATATCCTTTCTAAGCAGTTATTAATAAAAATGAGTTGGAGCTATATAGCTAAACTTTAAAAAAAATCCATGAAGATTTTAGAAAGGAGATGACATAGTATTGTATTATCCTGTTTTTAAAAAACAAAGTAGTAAATCTGTTTTTTCTTTGCACATTTTTCTGAGTCTCTAGAAAAGTGTAGAAGGAAATAAGTCAAACTTTTAGATTGGGTACCATCTGTGTCTACAATTAGACAGAGGTGGGAGTGAACAGAGGGCGTAGAGGATGAAGGAAAGTAGCAAAAACGGGAAAAATAATTGGGAGACTGGAATACATGTTAGTTGGGTTTGGATCGTAGGAAATAGTCCTTCAGCTGAAACAGTGGTGTCTGGAGTTGAGAGAGTTGATAAGCTACTTAAAGAAAAAATGCATTACTGTGAATAAAATGATCCCACGGAATCTTTGATGAGAATTTGATAGAAACTTATTGTGAAGAGTTTTTTTTTTCAATTATTAAAATAAATTCATTGATCATCCTTTGGATAGCAAAGGTGAGATTCTTTGTGGCAGATAAGGAATGTGAGGAGGAATGAAAATCTCTTGGGAAGCTGAGGGTGGGAGGCTCAAATCAGAGATGCAGGTATCAGGGCCCATGTGTGTTGTCACCAGTTTGAAGGCAGAAATCAACAAGCAGCCAGGTCCCCGCGCTTCCTTGGTGTAGCCTCGTCCCAGCTACCGATCTCTTCCTTCACTGGGAAATTTGTGTTCTAAATTAGTCTTAAAACTTTATTCTCCACTTTTTCTCGGGTATAGACTCTCCTTTATGGAGTTAAAACTAAGTTAAATATGTATTTTTTTAAATTAGCTGAGATTAAGAAAAAGTGACTTTAAAAATTAATACCATGATTCTTAATAATTATCTGCATGATACATTTATAAATCTTTCACCTAAAGAATATAGTTTGCCCCTGATCCTCTTTAGGTGCTAATGAGAACTACTTTTCTTGAGTAAAAATCCTATTTATTAATTTAGATTCAAGCAAAAGTTTTTTATAGCATCACACTTACATGCACTCTAGTCCTGGCTCCTTGGAGGTCAGTTCCACAGGAAAGAAGTGATTCTTTTATCATAGCAGGCATATCTTCTGAGCTGACTGCCATGTAGTAGGTTATATCATTTAATTACTCAGTCATTAAACATACAGGGCACCTTATATAGGCAAATCACAATAAAGGGTAATAATGGAGATACATCTCTAAAGAAAACTCAGTCTAATAGGAGTTCTTGGAGTAAGTTGTTGATGAGACTAAGAACACAAGTTCTTAGGCTGATAGTTGACATTGCATAGACATAAATTCTAGTTTACAGCCAGCTGTGGCAAATCCTGAACCATGAAACACGTCCCACATAGTGTGTCTGGTGTGCCTGAGACATTTGTAAGCTGAGCCCCAAAGTGCATGAACACGGCAGCCATGGATTGCTCAGTGAAAAGGTGTTCGTTGACTTTTTTCCTTAGTTCTAATTTCCCGTCTTGAATGCTTTTAAACTGGGGTATTTTATACTTTAATATGAACATAAATAGAGCCATGCTTTATGCTCTCCCTTTGGGTAATTTTCTGTATTTCAGACTCATGTCTCTTTTCCAACAGTTACAAAGTCTCCCGTCCTGTGGGACTCTAAGAGGGAGGCGCCCGGTCCCCACTTCCTCTCCTGGCTGTGACTGCCCTTCACCAGAAGAGGAAGAGGGTGCAGAGATTGGGCCTGTGGTTATTCTGGTCATGTCATTTGAACAAATAATGGAGAGAGGAGACTGATAACTATCCATCACAAGACGAGCCAAAATGATGTGTTAGCTCAAGGGAAGAGAAGGGTTGAGGGAGCGATTCATTTTTAAGGACGGGGGAATCTTGCTGTGATGATAGCAGTGACCCATTAGAGGACAAGTGAATGATGCTTGAGAGAGCAGGCGTCGTTTTAGGTCGTGAGAGTGAGGGGATCTGGTGCTCCAGCGGAGGGAACGGTTTTTGAAACAGAGACAGTTCATCCAGGAGAACAGGAGGGAGGCAGAGTGCATGGTTGCAGGTAGGCTGCCAGCGTGGTT